CTACGACGAAGTTGAATAGGAATGGTGAAATAAGACACTCCAGACGGAAACCGCTCGTCGTTTCGAACGATTTGTTTAGCCCATCGTATACCCTCCGCTACCCGAAGTATGCAGGTAGATCGGTCGTAATGGGTTTATATACTGCTGTGGCAGTCTGTTGCGAAGCAGTGCACCAATTATGGGTTCACGGTCAACTGAATCAAAGGCTCTTTTCAGGTCGGAGAAAACAGCGATTGTTGGTCGACGATGTGTGTGGTTCATCTGGAGGACTTCACGCAGAGTGAAGTCGATGCAACCACGATCTAGCCGGAATCCTGCTTACTGTTCGCCAACCATCAGCTCTCTCAAATGTCCCAGGCGGCGAAGTATCACAGCAGTTAACACTTTTGTGATGACTAGAACTAAACTCACCCCGCATTCGTTACGCAATCCCTTCTTGAAGATCGGCACGAACAACGATTCTCTCTCAGGACAGAGGGATATGCTCATCCGACCAGATACTACGAAGCTAGTAACCGGGCTGACAAGAGAGTCACCACCCGGCTTGAAAAGAATGGGGAGAAGCCCATCAGGTCCCGCAGTCTTCCCTTTCTTAAATGATTGAATACAGCTTCCTACCTTAACTGTGTTGGAGGCTCACATGTTACCACCTATGGAGTTTCCGCTGCAATGGCAGGAATAACCGCGTTAGCACCAGGCCAATTGAACTGTTCACTAAAATACTCAACTCCATAGTTACGAAGACCCGCTGTCCAGTGATGAAAACCGGTAGCCTAAGCCCCGGGACTTAAAGAGGCGAACCACATAAGGCCCTGTTAGCTATTTTGACCCACCGGTTCTCGCGACCTTTATCAAGGCTTGTCCTGAGCAGTGATTACGGTATCGCTTAGAAACTAACTGTTACGTCCCTTAACAACCGATCATCACAATGATTGGTATCTATGATACATTCGCAACAGTAATCACTTTTGCAGGCTTAGGAACGATTCTCAGACGGGGAAGGAATCGGAGCAGCAACACTACCCACCCACCTGCCACAAAAGCTCGGGAATCACGTTTGGCAAATTCCAACAACGCCCACTCATTTCGTCGCGAAATCTTTCGTCCGTTGTGAACGATCGATAATGCCTCGAATATCCTTAGCAGGTGGTATAAAGCCTTACTGAACGACCAGTTCTAATATGGATGATGCAACAATTGCGGTGTATCATTTGAGAACAATGTTTCGGGTAAGATGAAATTACCCGAACCCACTCCACGGCACTCAAAGGATTACTTGGCCCAGGATAATCATAGAGATATACAACGGCAGTCAAAACACTTCGATCAGCTGATAAACCTCGTTAGTTTTCAGCGTTTCACCAACATCTGAGGCAGTGGATGAATATCAGGCCGATTATGACATCAGGAATAAGATGCCCCACTGGGAAGATGAGGTAGCGCTGTTTTTAAAACCTGAATGACCATCCTACTATATGAGAGACAGAAGTATGACCAAAAAAATGGTGTGTCTCAGTCTTGGTTCCCATATACAAAGGGGAGAGAAAAACTGCGAGAAGTATACCGGGGTAAGCCTAATAGAAAGTGTCCAAACAAATGGTAGTATGCTCCTCAACCAACGATAAACGTACCCGTCCATTAAAATAGAAGGCTACAAAGGCAGATCTTTCGTCCAATTCAGCAAACGGACAATGACCTTTTGAGATAACGTCTTCATCTAAATTTCCGAACACAATGACGCTACCACACAAACGACATCATTAAGACCGACAAGGAGAACCTGGGTCTATCCACGGTTGGCTCCAACAGAACTGACACAATAAACCTATTTGTGCTGCTGACCGCGCGTCGCTGTGCGTGGGCAGCTGCTATCAGAGATATACTCAGGCGGGAATGAGTTGCATAAAAATAAGAAAATACATAGTTCAAAGGTTGCATGAGTTGAACTGCACTAAATTAATGGAAATGCAGAGCATACAAGACGGAAGCTGAGACCGTACTTTTCGCAGTTCTAATGAACTATAAAAGGGAGATTTGATAGTGGGTGAACCAAATATGAACTAATTCGAGCATAAAAATTATGGAAAGGATGATCGGTAGGAACGCAGAAAGACTAATGTTGTAATGAGATAGTAAGTATCAAATATTGACAGTACCGGGTCTTGTTTTCTCCTGGAGCAAGGGCTTCTAAATACAACAGTTTAGTTGTTTTTTCTTTTTTCGATCGAGACGATTTTCGACTTTTACCGGCCACCGTCACATCGTCGTCATCATCTCCGTTGGGAAATTGGGCTTCACCATCTATTTCTGGGAAAGAAAATATACAGCAGATGGCTGAGCAACAAAGCTAAACAAACAGGCAATAAAACATAGAAAGACACCCGGACGATCTGAGTTCAAAGGAACAAAACACTTAAGAAGTGAGCATATCAAATCAACAAAATGAACACCACACCAACTTGTGATAGGGAAGAGGATACTGCTTGAACGTTTGATCTCGTTCAAAGAGTGTGATCAATAATCTGGAATCTAGAGAAAGGAGAGAATGAAATTTTCCGGACATTTTTACTAAGCCTACAATCAGAATGAACTATCCAACGCGCCATCCACAGGAAGCCATCGTGAAATAACTAGTATATCCATTTCAAAAGCTATGTGCCTTTGGAACGGAAATATGATTCAGCAGCAAAACTTCGCATTGTATTCATCTCCAGGCCACTTTCGTGATCTTACCTCACACAAATTGCCTGTTTGTGCAGTCTCCCTCGGCCTGCTTGAATAGTGGAGTGATCAAGACTATCAACAGTTCGATCGCTTCACACTAGGTGGAATCAACCCACGTTAATGTGTCCGAGGCGTTTGGACCCCGTACTTTGTTCGCAGCCGTCGACCTAAGGGGTTTAGGAGTCGCATTGTGGACACAGCTATCGGAATCCGTCTACATAATCCCCAAATCAATCCAAGTACTCCCGGCCTTCCATGGCCAACAGCACACATGATACAGCCTTCCCCACCAGTTCCTGTCCCGAACCAATGCGCGTGAGTGAGGACCAAAAAGTGAGCAAAATCTAGTCCTGGAACTGGAATATTGATTATTTCTTTTTCCATTTTGTTATGATTTCTCCCTCCTACTAAACAGTTAGACGTTAAATGAGATGTATTAGCCTGTAGAAGAACGATATATATATATATATATATATATATATATATATATGTTTTGTAGGTGGTTTAGATGCTACTAACCGCAACCAATGTGACGTAAGCGTCTTTATAAAAGTATATATGAAATATATATGCTTATCTTGACTATAANCTTAATAACCTTAAGCTAAACCTGAGATATATAAGCATATCAACAACAGAGTATGAATCAATTTAGGTGTGGCTTTAATAACGGAAGATTATCGAAACAGCCCGAAGGATGCTTTTGAATCACATCACAGGCACCAAAGTAGAATACTTCTGTCCCTGATAGCTTCTTGATTGCCCTCAATCCCGTTAATGGAAAACGCACAATCGTATGTTCTAACGAATTTTTAAGTTGCACGTTTGTCTGTTTATCGGGAAATTTCACCTTAAAAAGTTTATGGCAATCATTACGATGATTTTAGTCCGTTTTTAGGTGTTGGAAGCTACCGTGAAGACGTCGACAACCGCTGAGACTTCTGGTTCTGGTAGCGATTGGAAAAAAGGAAGGGCGGTCAAGCTAAGACCTGGCATGAGGGTATGAAAACCCTAACCATGAGACTAGGTCACATAGGCCCCGTTAGGCTCCCTGGTTGGGGACCTCGGGATGATGGTCATTGATGGTTAGAGACACTGAGTGATATGGTTGGGTGTCGCAAACAGTGGCGCTCGTGCATCCACTCGTTATTTTTCTAACACCACTCTATATGAATTCCCTATGTTCTGCTTCAATTTGCTTCAACATTCCAATCTTTATTTCGCTCTTTTATCCAAATGGGCAACCAAAAGACAGCAACCAAAACCGGCGCACAAAAGTGCATGGTTATTGGTTGTAAAAACTGAACTGAATGATTTTTCAAACAGGGCACCATCAGAGTGAAAAGCGTTGCAAATGTTGTACAGCTCAGTTGTTCTTTTTAACAATAATTGCTACTTGTAACTACTTCCCCACACCTTAATCCGTACAGACTGTATTCGGAAACTCACGATAGTGGAGCTTTTGCTGAATAGATTATCATAGTCAACTTCATCACTTAGCCTCAGGCTAACTTATGGTACCAAATTTGTGGACAATTATGAAATTATACTCGCTAAATACTAAATTAAATCAAAACCACATTAGCGATAATTTGCTTCAAGTATTCGATCAATTTCATAAACTCGCTCACCTTCGTCGCGTCCCGTGATAGGATTGATTCGACGACGTTTTGCTTTTTTTCGCCAGTGTTCCGGACCGGCCCACATACCCAGAAGATGATCATTTAGCTGTCCGAAGTGTTCGTATTGTTTGTCCAACATGCTCTTTAGGCTGGACACAAACAACTCGCCATCTGTACCGCTAGTTTGAGCAACACTGCGCAAAAAGAGATGGGATGCAAATTGTTCAACTTTTTGACTTAAGGATATATACACAAATCCGCGATTGATGGTACATTACAAATCCAAATATGACCTGATAACAATAATGTAAAGAAGACTGTCGGTGCAACAGTTGGAGAAGCTGATGGATTTGATGACGCAAACCAATCAAGAGGAACTGGCCGAATGAACCTGAGTGGCAGTGTTAGAACCATCAAAGACAGAAAAAGGGAGTCTTATCGACAAACGAGGTTAGCAGAGCTAGACTGCAGGCGGACAGCAAGACGCCTCAGGTCGAAAGCTGCAAACAGGGTAG